TTCAAGGCCAGCCTGGTCTCCATAGCAAATCCAGGCCAACTGGGGCTACAGGGAGACCCTGTCCCCCGAAAAAATTTTAAAGGGTTATTTGACATGTATGCATGTGTACCTGCATGGGTTGATGTGCGCCATGTAAGAGCAGGTGCCCTCAGAGGCCAGTAGAGAGTATTGGATCCCCTGGAACTGGAGTTACACCATGTGATTGCTGGGAACCAAAGTGGGGTTCTTTGCAAGAGCAGCTAGTGCGTGTACCCACTGAGCCAGTCCTATTTTAACACTTTTACAGTTACATTTTAAATCCTTATATAATTCCCTACATGATAGCCTCAATTTTACCTCTTGGCTTTTCAGAAGAAGTTTGTAGATGGGTTTTAACATTAACCCTGTTCATAAGACCTGTAAGAATGAGCTTATGAGTTACAATTTGTATCTGCTTGATGCTTAATTTTATGTTCTAAAAAGATTCTAAGCCTGAAGATGTCTTGCTCAAGCAGACAGATCAGGTGTGCCTTTTAAAATTGCACCATGATTCAGTGCCTAGAACTTCAAAATAATAGGTGTGAAATAGTTACTAGTTACAAATGGTGGAAAAATTGTAAGTGGAGGAAAATAGGAAAAATAGGGCTGAGAGAGCCTTGGGAATTTGCTGTTTGCAATGGGAAGAAAGATGTGACTTAGCATATAAATGAGCACAGCAATCTGAGACCTTTTTGTGAAAAGCTGCAGGGTATTTAGCCTGCCATGTGAATTACAGACCATGGTTTTGAGAAGAAAGTGCTAAGGGTCTGGGAGATGGTTCAGTAAGTAAAACACTTGCCATTTAAAGCACTTACCAAGCAAGCTTGAAGACCTGAGTTTGGCCCCTGGAACTGATGTAAAATAAAGGTGAAAGGAGAGGGTCTGGAGAGATGGCTCAGCTGGTAGGGGAACATACTGTTCTTGCAGAGGACCCGAGTTCAGTCCCCAGCACCCAAGTGACTCATAACTGCCTGAGACTCCAGCGCCAGGCAATCTGACCCCTCTGGCCTCTACAGGCACCTGTACTCAAGTGCACATACTCCCCACAGACACAAAAACATACACATAATTAAATTTTAAGTTTTATAAAGATAGATAGGGGGACTGGAGAGATGGTTCACTGGTTTAGGGTGCTTGCTCTTCCAAGGACCAGAGTTCAGTTCCTAGCATCCATGTGAGGCAGCTCACAACTGCCTGTAACTACAGTTCAAGTGCATCTGAACACGTGGCATGCACCCACACAGACACAGGAATAAAAATAAATTTAAAACAATAAATAAGGGGCTGGAGAGAGGACTCCAGGTAAAGAGCACTGGCCATTCTTGCAGAGGACCTAGGTTCAGTTCCCAGCATCCACATGGCAGCTAACAAGAATCTATAACTCCAGTTCCTGGGGATCCAATGCCCTCTTCTGGCCTCTGCAGGCATTGCATGACAGTTGTGCTTATATTTGTGCAAGCAAAATACGCATACATAAAAAGGACAGAAGAAGACTAACTCCACAAAGTTGTCCCCTGATCTCCACATACACATCACACACACACACACACACACACACATACACACACACACACACAACAATAAATAATTTTGAAGGTGCCAAGCCAAGTGTAGAGATGGATTTCAGAGGTGGAAGCAAGAGGATCAGGAGTTCAAGGATAGTGATAGCCACATAGTAAATTGTAAGGCCAGCCTGGGCTACATGAGATTTTTTTTTTTTTTTTTAAACAGGGTCTTCCTATAACACCAGCTGGCCTGGAACTCACTATATAGACCAAGCTGGCCTTGAACTCACAGAGATCTGCCTGCCTTTGCCTTCCAAGTGCTAGGACTGCAGGCATGCACCACCATGCTTGGTGCATGAGATTCTTTTTTTTTTTTTTTTTGAGACCCTGCTTCAAAAAGACAAAAAAAAAAAAAAACCCACCAAACAAATGGGACTGGAGAGATGGGTCAGTGGTTAAGAGCACTTGCTGTTCTTCCAGAGATTCTCAGCACCTATATTAGGCAACTCACAACCTCCTGTAGCTCCAGCTCCAGATGATCTGACACCCCTCTGGCCTCCACACATGTACACAGACACACACATAAATAAAATATAAATAAACAATAACTAAATGCTGGTCCTAGTGGTACAGGACTGTAAGTCTAAGTCTCTAGCTGAGCAAGGCAGGGTGTGAAGTACACGGCTTGCCTGGGCTGCAGAGTGAGTTCAAGGCCAGCCCAGTAAATGACAGAAGCCCCTGTCTGGAGGGAATGAGGAATACTAGTGATATCAACTGGTACTTAAAATTAAAGATAACACACTAACATGGAAAAAAGACATCAGATGGTTTTGCAGGAGTGGGGGGGTGATAAGGTCTCTGCTTCAGTCGCCCAAGTGCTGAGATTACAAGTATGTACCACCATGCTTGGTCCTGAGCACATATTTATATTCTTCCTCTTCCAAAGGCCTCACTACAATTAAGGATATCAACGAGTGGGACCGGAGGAGGGAAAAGCATAAGTCAATAAAGATAACAGGAAGGGGCCACTGGTGGTCAAGAGATTTCAAGAAATTTCTGGAAAGCACTGAGTATATGGACACATAGTGATCAGCATGAAAAGCAGAGGATGCTGCTTCCTGGAACAGTGGCCTGATGCCAGTGCAGGACATGCAACAGGACCACAGAAACTACCCTGAAGGAGGGACAGATGGGGCTGAGCTGACGGTCTAGTGATCTCATCTACTCTTAGACTGCCGGGTGGCAGGCAGCATGGTATGTATGCTTATGCAACTCCATCTTCTTAGCCCAAGGGTTCAGAGGACCTGGGTTTATTCCCATTCCCAATGGTGGCTAACAACCATCCATTAACCCTAGTTCCAGGGGATCCAATGCCCTCTTCTGAGCTCTCCTGTACTATACACATGTAGTGCACTTTCATACATGCAGGCAAACCACTTACATTAAAAAAAAAATTAAATTTTTACATAAAATTGGCTATCCAATATAAAATAAATAGCAAGTAAAATAAAGTTAGGAAAAAAGAAATGAGGGCTGGAGAGATGATTTAGTGGTTAAGAGCACTGGTTGCTTCTGTAGGACTGGAGTTCAGTTCCCAGTACTCACATCAGGTGGCTCACAACCACCTGTAACTCTAGCTCCAGGAGATCCAATGCCCTCTCTAGCCTCTGTGGGTATCCACAAGCATGTGCACATATATAGAAACATAAATAATAAAAATAAGTATTATTTTTTAAAAAACAAATGCCATTCGGTGACACTGACTTTTAAAATCTGAGTGCTTTTAATAGATTTTTTTATTACAATGGTAACCGCAAACTGTTAAAAGATTTTCTATGATTACATCACAGCAATGATTAGGACAAAGGCGGCAAGCTAAAAGTCAAATGAATTATTATAATTAATTATGTACAGCTTACAGGCATTTTTCTTTTTAGTTTTTTGAGACAGGGCCTTATTGTGCAGTCCAGGCTGACCTAAAACTCACTATATAAATCAGGCTGACCTCCGCTCCTCAATGGAATTACAGGTATGTGCCATGGTGCCTGGATCAGACATTTTTCTTCAGACAAACAGTGCTGGTGTTCATCCACTGAAATCTAGACAAGCTGGTGCCACCCTGGTACCAACTAGAAGCAAAAAAAAAATCTTAAAATTCCTGTGATCTTGAAGGTCTTGTCTAAGCTTTAGAGAGCCTTTGTTTTTCTTTTGGCCACTAGATTTTTCAGGAAAAATTCACCTATTTATGGAAAAAAAATATATCAACATCAATTTAAAGTAAATTATAGCACAACTACTAGTTCAGAAGTGAACTTCCCTTATAGACTTGGCAGTTCCCTCTTCTCAAACCTCAAAGGCATTATTTTCCTAATCTAAGTGTTCCCGATCTTTGGCATTTCTCCCCGTTGTTTTTTTTTTTTTAATGTGTATGAGTGTATTGCCTGCATGTATGTAAGTGCACCCGTGTGATGCAGTGCTCAGAGAGGTCAGAAGAGGGTGTCAGATTCCCCTGGAACAGGAGTTATAGATAGTTGATAGCCACCATGTGGGTGCTGGGATTCAAACTCCAGTCCTCTGCAAGAGCAGCCAGTGCTCTTAACTGCTGAGCCAACTCTCCAGCCCACATTCCATTGTTTTTATTTTTTAAAAAAAAAATTTTTTTGTCTTTTTAAGACAGGGTCTCCCTGTAGCCCCAGCTGTCCTGGAACTCACTATGTAGACCAGGCTGGCCTCGAACTCACAAAGATCTGCCTGCCTCTGCCTCCCAAGTGCTGGGATTAAAGGCATACGCCACCACGCCCTGCTGTTTTTATTAAAAAATTTTATCACTACCCTCTCAACTATTATTCTTTCCACTAACCGAATATTATGCAAGATGGCCTATTGTATCTGCAAGTCTGCTTCTGCAAGTTCATTCCACTGTGGGGTTATCTATTCCTCATCACTGACAAAGTACTGCTGTTGGCAAAACTCACTTCAGAGAGCAATTCTGCCACATTATTAGCCGGGATCTGATGTTTATAAAGCAGACCTCGTTGCAGCTGAGCACTCATCTGATGGAATCTCTATGGCTTACAACCCCTCTAGGGAAGTCAGAACTCTTGTCCTCATCTCTGAACCCTGTCTACACCACAAGCTAATTGCTCTGAGGGGCGTGCTCCCTTTTCAGTCCATTACAGCTCCATTTAGTCTAGCACTACTCCAGTACAGCTCAGTGCTTATTGGTGGTGCACAGCACTGGAGGCTTGATTTTATGAGGAGTCAGATTAGCTCCTCTCTGTCATCTTACATGTACAAGCAGAATTGCAATGACCATATCTAAACACAATCATCAAGAATCCCAAGACTCTTAACCTAGCCAAGTAATCTGTGCTGCTCAATACCTTGTCTAAATCTGGCAGACACAGAACCAGCATTATATGACTGGAACCTATCATCTGAGTCTAATGCTCCACATATCAGAATTTAATATTTAGTAGTTATTTTAGAAAACACTAAAAGGTTCCTAACTAATTTCATTACAAATGTTAGAAAATTTCCTTGAAAAAATAAAATCTCCTTTTAAATACTCCTCTACTATAACCCTCTAGAAGCTGATATCGGATCAGGCCTCTGTATGTATTTCAGCTTGCTGGTAAGTAGCCCTGCTTAAAGGTTAATGATTTCTAGTTTCTAAAAGTCTTCAGTGCTAAACCAAATTCTTGAAGTTTTTGTTCTTGTTTAATATATTTTAATAAATTCTTTGAGAATTTTATACTTACGTACATTGTATTTTGATCATATTCATCCCCACTCCCCTAACTCCTCCCAGATTCAACCCTCCCATTTCATGTCCTTTTTTTTTTCCCTTTTTTTCTTTTTTTAATATATATAAACCACAGAGTCCACATTCTCTGGTTTTACAATTGGGATAAACTTTTAGTGAAAACATTTTACATTTAGCCAGGCATGGTGGTACACACCTTTGGTCCCAGCACTCAGGAGGCAGAGGCAGGCAGATCTCTTTGAGTTCAAGGCCAGCTGGTCTACACAGTGAGTTCCAGGCCAGTTGGGGCTACAGGTTGTTTTGGTCTCAAAAACAAAACAAAATAAAACAAAACAACCTTAAATTTATTTCCTTTTCATTTTTTGAGACAAGAGTCTCATGAAGCCCAGGCTAGTCTCAAACTCATACTGCCTAGCTGATGCTCCCTGATGCTCCTTACATCCTTCTCCCAAGTGCTAGACTTACAAGCATATAACCGCCATAACCCAGCTTCCTTAAAGTTTTCTTTGTAGGAACACTGAATATCACTAATACTTAAACGCTGATTTTTCCAAACAGAATTATGCTTAAATTAAATATTCCTATGATTCAGACCTCAGTATATATGGCAATCATTTAAAGGGCCACTAATAGCAATAACATGTTTTATACATATTCAAAAATACCAAGCTTACTCATTACAATTGTTAAATCCAACTGACAGGGAAAACATCTTTTAAATTAAGACAGGCTTTATAAGGCTGGCCCTCCTTTCTTTCCTAGCCTCCTAGGTGCTGGGATTATAGGCATGCACTACCAAGACTGACTCAAATGACTTTTTTTTTCCCTTCTCTTGTGGTACTGGGAAATGAACCCAGGACCCCATGCATGCTGGGTTAGTACTTTACCATTGAACTATTTTCCTAGCCCTCAATTTTTCATCCCTGGAAAATGCTTTTATTTTCAGTATTTTCATAAAATCAAAAAATATTTTCATAAAATCGAAAAAATAGCTTAATTCCAAAACTGAAAAACTGCATTGTAGTTAGTAAAACCACTCAAAATTTGTTTAGGGAAAAAATGTTCTTACAGATTTTTTTCCTTTTACCTCTATGGAGTAAAATATAAAGAAACTGGCCAGGCGTGGTAGTGCATGCTTTTAGTCCCAGCACTCGGATCTCTGTGAGTTCAAGTCTAGCCTGGTCTACATAGTGAGTTCCAGGCCAGCTGATGCTTCAAGGAGACCCTATCTCAAAAAGACCAAAATAAAATAAAATAAAATGAAGAAATTAACAGCGGAAAAAAAGCAATGCTATTAAATGTCAAAGCTTGAACTGATCTGAAATTGGCAGTCCAGAGATGAAGCTGGCATCATTTTCAAACGAATATACATTTTTTCAGAAAACTATATTACATGCTTGGTATGCTTTGTCATTTCTGAATAATCTACTACTGAAATCCACATATGGAAAACTGAATATACTGATTATTTCTATTTTCATCAAAATGGATGAGATATCAAAATCAGGGAGGAATTTGTTTAAGAAATAAATGAGGTTTAAGAGAAACAGCTCTTTAATATGACCCCTATGGAGCAAAGCTCTAAAGGATATTCTAAAAAAAAAAAAAAAAAGCATCTTTTTATGATAAAAGAAATCACAACTCACAACTACTGTAATTTGCCCTAGAGTTTTGGTAGCTTGGGGTAGAAAGTAACGAGAAAATTAATGGCCTAAACAGAACCATCCCTGCAGCCTAACTTACCTGCTTTATATGAAGAACGCACCAAAGGGCCACTTGCAGTGTAATGAAATCCAAGTTCATTTCCTACCTTTTCCCAGTATTTGAACTTCGCAGGAGTAATATATTCTTCAACCTAATGTAAATCATCAGTTCAGATCAGATCCCAGAATTCTGTCTCAAGTCCATACTCGTATTTTCAGCAGGGTTCTATATTAATCCAGGCCTCTCTCACTCCCTGATCATTTCTGTGTTCCTGGTCCTCTATTAGGGCATCACTATAGGGACTCTAGTAAAGAGGGGAACATCACTTTGTACGAATTAACTATTTCAAAGGACAGTGAAAGAAAATGAGCGTATAGGTATACTTAATATTTTTTCCTTCATTCATGAATTGGTAGAAGCATAAACTGGTCATGCTGGTAAGAGTCTTTGTGTGCATGTGTGCATGAGGGTGCTCACACATGTGCGCATGTGTATGTGAGTAGGCCAGAGGACAACCTTGGCTGTTGTTCCTCAGGTGTTTTCCATCTTCTTTTTGACATAGCACCTCTCACTGGCCTCAACTTGCCAAGTAGCTGACCAGCAAGGCCCAAGGGATTCACCGGTCTCTGCCTTCCCAGTGGTGGGATTACAGCACATGCCATCATGCCTGGTTTTTGTTGTTTGATTTTTAGGGCATGGTCTCATGGTAGTACTGGCTGGCCTAGAACTTGCTATATAGACCAGACTGGCCTTAAACTCACAGAGATCCTCCTGCCTCTGCCTCCCAAGTGCTGGGATTGAAGCACCACCATGCTCAGTCAAACTTTTCTTTTTCAAAAAAAAATGCTTTATTATTTTTATTTTTTTATGTGTATAAGTATATTGCCTATAAGTATATAAGTGTACCGTATCATGTAATGTATGCAAGGACAGAAGAAGGTGTTGGATTTCCTGGAACTGGAATTACAGAAGGTTGTTAGCTGTCACATGGATGCTGGAAACCGAGCCCAGGTCCTCTGCAAGAGCAATCAGTGTTCTTAACCACTTAGCCCTTTCCAGCCCCTTAAACTTTTTTTAAAAATGTGGGTTCTGGTGCTTAAAATCAGGTCCTCAAGCATTTTCGTGTCTCTCCAGTCCCCCATAAGATCCTTGTCTTATTGATCCTTGTCTTATTGAGACAGGGTTTCCCTATAGCCCCAGCTGGCCTGGAACTTGCTACGTAGACCAGGCTGGCTTTGAACTCACAGAGATCCACCTCTGCCTCCCAAGTGCTGAGATCAAAGGCCTGGCCCAAATTCTTGATGAGATTCTTATTTGTTTGTTTGTTTGTTTATTGAGAGCAAGATTATTTTTATTAATTTGTTTGCTTATTTATTTTTTGTGGTTTTGTTTTTGAGACAGAAGTTCCAGTAGCCTCAGATGGCCTGGAACTCCCTAAGTAGACAAAGCTGGCCTCAATCTCACAGAGATCACCTGCCTTAGTCTCCCAAGCACTAGGATTAAAGACATGCGTCACCACCTCCTTATGAAGCAGAACTCATATTCATCTGGTATCTTGTCTTATACTTGGTATTGCAGCTGGCATGTGACTGTTTCAGATTGAACCTAGGGCTTCATACATGCTAGGTGAGTGCTCGCCCACTGAGCTACAGCTACAGTCTGCTATTGACACATGGTACCTACTCAACACAATTTTCTTGAGTGAATAAACACTCCATTATAGAAACAGAAAACTGGCTTCCATTTCTTACAACACCTTTGGTTTTCAGACAACTCTAAAATAAGTCACACCAAAGTCACACTTTGGAGCACCAAATGACAGTGAGTACAACGTCTCAACTTTTGCTTATTTTTCTGTATGTTCACTTGACTTTTACAATCTGGGTAGCAATAAGAACCAGTGTAGCTGCTTTACATAGATAATAAAATGGAAACTTATACACACACAGAACATTATACTAAAAAGTCAGCAGTCTCTTATCTTTACCTGTATACAACGAAGAATTGATTCAAATTACTAAGAAACATTTGGCAATTCAAGATGTCTGTACCTTAAGGTGGCGCTTTGTTGGCTGCATATACTGTCCTAAAGTTAAACAGTCCACACCAGCTTCACGAAGTGCTGCAAAAAGCACAAATTCCACTAGAGGTGTTTTACAATGTTAAAATTACAGGTCTAAGTATAGTTTTCATGAGGAATACTTCCTAACAGTGTGCTGTAATTGTCACCACAGGAAAGTAAACCTATCTGTTCAAAGATGTTATGAGGAGAATTGAAAACATAGAAATGATTAACACAGTCTTGAGAGGCAGGGAGATAAAGATAAATACCTTTAATGCTATTTATAAGCACTAAAATATGAGCAGAAGGTTTCTAGAGCAGGTGGCTGTTGGATATAACAAGCTAAGGGAGGCCACTCTTGAGATAACCAGGCCCACCCCTAGGTGTGTCTTTCCTCTCCCTCAGTGTGTCCATATTAACCTCTGTACTTAAACCCATGTTAAAAATCTCTTCCCCTCTTTTTGAGACAGGATCTCCCTGTAGCCCCAGCTGGTCTGGAACTATGTAGACCAGGCTGGCCTTGAACCCAGAGAGATCTGCCTGCCTCTGCCTCCCAAGTGCTGGGATTAAAGGCATGTGCCAACAATGTACCCAGCTTAAAAATCTAACTCCAGCTCTGTCTTAAAAAAAAGTGAATGAACAGTATAGCAAAAGGACAAACACCTGTCTAAGCCAAGATGCTGGATCAGGCTCTCAGTGTAGAAGACATGCTCTGAGGCATGCCATTTGACCTATGACATATCACAATCTTTCAGTACTGTTGTACTTCATAGGCAAGCAATCCACTACTACAAGCAAATCCATAGCCCCAGAATCTTCTTTATTCATTAGTGCCTGGTACCTGACTGGCTCTCAAAACCAGTCCAATGACAGAATGAGAAAAATGGACAAAATTATGTGTTCAGCCGGGTGTGGTGGTGTATGTCTTTAATCCCAGTACTTGGGAGGCAGAGGCAGGAGGATCTCTGTGAGTTCAAGGCCAGCTTGGTCTACATAGTGAGTTGCAGGACAGCTGGGGCTACAGGAAGACCGTGTCTCAAAAAGACCCCCTCAAAAAAAAAATTATGTTTTCATTGAAGAATAGGCAAGGAACAAAGTGGGAGTCCCCGGCTTCTCACTGTCATTTACTCTGGGACTACAGAAGAAGCATCAATTTAACAGGCTCTTCAGAGTTCCTATTATTCAAAGTAAATGGGAAAGGTTCCCTACTTTTCAGTTTCTTTACCTTTCATTGTTGCATAGACTTGCTCGTCGGTCTCACCAAGGCCCAACATTATTGATGTTTTAGAAACAACATCAGGCTGAGCCTTCTTGGCATGTTTCAGTACATGAAGAGACTGCTCAAAATTGGCCCGGGGATCACGAACCTTCCTGGAAAACAGGGCTTCTCTCAGTAACAAAAACCACAAGTTCAACAAAGTATGTTGTTATATAAGCAAGCTGCAAGACTAGAAAAGTACACTCTAGAATATATGGTTCACTGGGTATACTTTTAGTCCCAGCACCTGGAAGGCAGAAGCAAGGAGAGCCCTGAGAGATTGAGACCAGACTGGTTTACAGAGCCAGTTCTAGTCTAGCTAGGACTACAGGGAGACCCTGCCTCAAAAAACCTGAACAACAACAACAAAAAAATATGGTTCCACATAGTAATTAAGCATATGATATGATGCTAACACTTGTGCACAGAGGCTTATTAATTTAGGAAGAAAAATTAGGATTCACTGGGATCCCTAATTTGGTAACTTTTAAGGCCTTTCAGGCTTGGACACAGAAAACCAGAATAGGTCACTTATTTTACACATTGAGATATCAGAATTATGATGCTCGAAATTATAATGACTCATAGGGGGAGCAGAAGACAGACAGGCCCACGCCAAAGACAAAACCTACCCTGAAGGGCATTTCAGAAGCTCAACCTTTCATGTGCGTTTTCTTTCTAAAGATTAAGCTGCCCTCTGCTGGTGAACACACAACACTGCCATCTCAGAGGAAAAGAAATGAAGGATTCTGAAATTTTCACTGGAAAAGATCATGTGTCTGAAGTGAAACCAGGGAGACTAGCCCCCACTGCTGGTGAGAGCACAGCAGGGCTCTCACAGGCTGGGTGGTGCCTTTCAACAAAAGCCAAACCACTGTGGCTGATATAGGAAGAAAGGCAAAGAGCTAGAAATAACTAATGTAAACCTAGCACTTAGTTGAATTTTAATGCACCTTTGTTTTCAGTAAATGATTTTTTTTTTTTAAATCAGAACTAAGCCTGTGTGTGGTGGCCCATGCCTTTGATCCCAGAGCAGGAGGCCTACATATCGAGCCCCAGGCCAGCTGGGACTACAGGGAGAGCCTGCCTCAAAAAACAAAACACAACAAAAACCCCACCAAAAAAAAAAAAAAAAATAGAAACTAGAAGAAAAAATGTATGAATTTAAAAATGACCACATCAGGCCTGCTGCCAAGCCTGATGACTTACTTGAGTTTGATCCCTGAGACCCACATTGTGGAAGAGAGAGAACTGACTCCCATAAGTCTTCCTCCAAACTCCACATATGCAAGATATGGCATGCACATGTACACACACACACACACACAAAAATAAATAAATAAATAAATAAATAAACCTAATTTAAAAAAAAAGAAGGGGATGGAGAGATGGCTCAGCAGTTAAGAGCACTGACAGCTCTTGAAGAGGACCCAGGTTCAAGCCCCAGCACCCACATGGCAGCTAACAACGATCTGTAACTCCAGTTCGGGGGACTCCAATACCTTCTTCTGACCTCCTCGGGCACTGCATGACACGCATGCATTTACATACATGCAGGCAATACACTCATACACCTAAAATAAAAATAATAAAATATTTTTTTGAAAAAAGGTTATGTGTGGTGGCTCAGGCCTTTAATCACAGCACTCAGCAAGTAGTGATTTCTGTGAACTGGAGACCAGCCTAGTTAACAGAGCAAGTTCCAGGCCAACTGGGGCCACATAGTAAGACCCTGTCTCAAAACAAGAACAAAACCAATTAAAGTAACTTTTAAAAAAGACAATAAAATTACTACTGTTTTTGAAACAGGCCATGCTGGCCTTGAACTCAAAATCCTCTTGACTCAGCCTCCTGACTGCTAGGATTATAGGTATATGCCATCACACTTAGAAAGTCATTACTTTAATAAAAAAAATTTTTTTAGGCCAGGCATAGTGGCACATGCCTTAAATTCCAGCACTGTGACTTCAAGGTCAGCCTGGTCTACATGGTGCGTTTAGGCCAGCTGGGGCTACAGGGAGACCCTATCTCAGAAAGACAATTTTTTTTTTCCAATTGTTTACTTATTGTGCATGTGCATGCACATGCATGAGCCACAGCGCACTGTGGAGGCCAGAAGACAGCTTGCTGGAGTTGGTTCTCTCCTTCCAGGAAGTGGGTCCCAGGGATTGAACTCATGTTGTCAGGCTTGGTGGTAAACAAACACCTTTACCTGCTGAACCATCTAGCTAGGCCAGAGTTACTACTTTTAAAAGTACTTCTCTGCTGAATTTAAGCCATGCTCTCGATGTTTATGAAGCAGTAGAAATGCTCATTACTGTTTACTATAACTTCTTTTAGGTTCTTGACAAAGATCAATGTAGAGTAGCTAATAAGATCACAGCTAAAGCCGGGTATGGTGGCGCATGCCTGTAGTCCCAGCACTTGGGAGGCAGAGGCAGGTGGAT